GACAACACGTGATTCCCGAATCTGAGGCTTGCGGCGAAGTGCTTCGTGCCGTCGTCTATCTCTTCTCGAACCGGAATGTGGTAGCAGACGGTGCATCCCACAATCCCTCGATCTTTTACCAGTCACCTATTTCACATAGCGTCATAAACCAGTGACTGGGACGCGAGGCTTGCACGTCCCGTCACAGACAGGTTTTCTGCGCTGGGTACATGTATATGTTTTTATCGCATTTGAGAGTGTCATGGCAAGTGACATATCACCCGTCGAGTTATTTTGTGCTTTCCCCGCTTTCTTGTGTTCGTCAGCCAAGGGTGAACGCAAAGAATCGGAAGCTGCACTGGCACTAATATGATGTCATCATTTCTTGCTTCGCGCGGTCGAGCTATAGTTCAAGCAGCAACTGGTACTTGAAGATGCGACCACAGTGACGTAAATACAAGTTATGTGTACTCTTTGATGCCGACCTTCCAGTTGTGAGTCCCCTATCTTTTTGGTACACCATCTTATGTCACCGTAAGTGGCCAAACGTCTGCTTTTTGATCAAGGCAACTACAGAGGCGTCCCTCAAGGGTCGCTGTTAGGCCCACTCCTCGTTTTAATTTTCTTTCATCACATCTTCCACATTAGTCATTCTTCTTTTCTTTTGCATGAGCAGTCGATATCATGACATTTAGGGCAATTTATTCTGTTAACGGCTTTTGCTTTTATGCAGCCAGTTTCCTTTTTGGGTTTGCAGAATTTCAGGAACCCAGCCTGCCGTACACCCACTGGCTCATGTCGCATGGTTCCGCAGTGCTCAATAAGGGCCTAAAACAACGCTAGAAATGCTAAAAACCAGTAGAAAATGAACTAACGAGGCCTAAAGTTATGGTAACTATATATATATATATATATAATCAAGAATTCTTCGCAATATAATTTGCCTATAATTGCGAGAAACACTTCTGTATAATCCAGATAACACAGGCACCGCGCAAAAGAGCGGGCCGGCGACCTCGGCAAGCACGCGATTGCCAAGGTAATCACTGCAGTGCCCGAGCTACGCACTGTTCATGTTACACTGTATTGGAGATACGAGAAGAGAACGATATACAACTACGCCATGTCTTCGACACGAACGACATTAGCGCTGGATTTAGCACGGGATTGAGAATTACACTTGAATTCAGTGGAGTGAATCGGTAGTTAGTCAGGGGGCTCCTGACCCTTCTTGGTGTTTAGGGGGGGGGGGGGGGGGGCTTGCCAATTGTTCGTCCTTAAGATTTACTTTTCAAATATCACATTTGAATTACTTTACCGGTATCACATTGCTCTCTAGATACATAGCAACACTTTTATAAACAGTCATGAAATGAATCCCCCAAAGGAGCTTATTGCTTCACCAATTCATCGCCACTAGAATTTTCAGAATCCGTCCAGTACGAGCGGAGTTGCAAGGATTGTCGTGAACTGGCAATCGCATTCTCTCTTTTTTGATTCCAACGAAAGCGCCGAATGCGAAGCAGAGGGAGATGACACAGGGGAAGAAAATGCGTCACGCGAGTGTCGTGAACTTGAGCACTTTTTTCTTTCAACAAGCAGCTTTTCAGTACGATCGCGCGCACGCGCATGGGCAAGTCGCGGCCTCCCGTGGCAGTCCCAGTACCAATCGATGCGCCATGCTCAAATCAGCCAATGTCTGGTACTAGGCCTGGGACGTGGTGATTTTAGGCCTGTAGCGTCATTTATCGAGTGAAAGAGAGCAATTTTTAACTAACTTTGAGATTTTCTTTTTTATACCAGGCTGCGTTATGCACTATTAATATTTGCATGCGTGTTCTCGGGAGCCTTGACTACCGATGGGAAGCGTTTTCTGACCATGCTCAAAAAGTTTTGCAGGGTCCACTTAACATCAACTCTAAAATCTGCAACCCTTCCAATCAGTGTAAACTGAGTACAAAAACAGTGATAACTATCTCTGCGAAAAAATGCACTTTAGAGGTTGTGGGTCGTGCTTTCTGAATTGCTACGTGTGACTTCCGACGAGAAAGAAATGTTTATTATGCTGGCATTCGAAGCCTGAAAGTAAACAATCCACGATGATCTACCGTTATTTATGTGTATAGACGATTCGGTGGAAGTCATTGGGAATGAAGTATCAGTGCGATTGCTTGAATTGTCGAATATAATCTTGCTATTAAAATAAATCGCTGGCGAATATGTACCCGCCTTGCAAGAAAGATGACAGGGTTAACTAGGAGGCGAATAGTATACACGATTAGAGCTGCAGCTGAAGGAAAGCTGTTCGTCTGCCCCTTATATTTATATATAGAAGTGATAACATCTTCCGTTGATGGTTTAATTCCGAGTGACATATTGGCTAATAGCATGCTGGAGCCTATATACCTACGAGTTACACTTAAAAACTAACTTATCGAACTATTGGCTGCTCAAATACATGCTCGTGTCTTATTTCAAAACATGATTTTTATTTTTATATAATTGCATATAAAACGTATACTTATGCAATAAAAAAGACCACCAAGGCATCAATAGGTGTGTCCCTGTATGCGTGTGCACGAAAGCAGGGGCACTTGAGTCACTTAAAATGGGGCAGAGATATGCTCTCATACATTGACTTAGCAATTGGGGGGGGGGGGGGGGGCAACAATGAATGTTCGCCACTCCGCCCATTGATGGGAAACACTGCGCACGCTTGCGTGTGTCCCCTCTCGAGATTTTTCTGGGTTTATGCCTCTGCTAAGAACGATAATATCGCAGCATTTAGCGCTAAATTTAGAACTATGCACCAACCTCAGAAGAGCTACGTTAGGGCTACATTAACGACACCATTAGGACAGCTTCCTTTTGATATTTTTTTTACAGCGAAAGCTGTTATGAGACTTAGCATCTTGGGAGGTTGCTCAAGAGCCAACCAGCCAAACCGAGGAAGGCTACACAAACACCCCATCGAAGGAGCCCGAGCCTTAAGGCATCGAACGTGTTATTCGAAGGTCGCAGGTTCGGTTCACATTTACATTACAATTGGGTCTAATAACTTTCCCTATACATTCCTTGGCGTTATTGTCTGTTACATCTCATGAATAATATTATGTCAAAACACGGAAAAACGAGCTTTTAAGTATACACTTCTTTCATATATATATATATATATATATATATATATATATATATATATATATATATATATATATATATATATATATATATATATATATATATACATACATGCTTACAGTTGGTAATTTTTTCATCCACTTTTCTTTCTTCTTATTTACATTCCATTAATGTTAATAACTTCCCCTGTACATTCCTTGGCATTACTGTCTGTTATATCTCATATATATATATATATATATATATATATATATATATATATATATATATATATATATATATATATATATATAGTGGGAGTAATAATTCAATGGGCCAGTTGTGCCATATCCCATACCTTCACGAAGACCAACTGGCCCATTGAATTATTACTCCCACTATATATATATATATATATATATATATATATATATATATATATATATATATATATATATATATATATATATATATTTATATATATATATATATATATATATATATTTATATATATATATATATATATATATATATATATATATATATATATATATATATATATATATATATATATATATATATATATATATATATATATATATATCCCACATTGAGACATTAAGGCCGAGACCTAGCTCCCCATCGTGGACCCTCTGGAGAGTCCAAAAGTTGTGATGTTATGCCCAGACTGCGGAGAGCGGAAATCCACTTACTGTACGACGCTGCATCGGTGCCACGTACCCTAGAGCACTCCCAGAGTATGTGGTGTAAGGTGGCTAAACCACCACATTTTGTACACGAGTCAGTTAAATAAACCTCTGCATAAAGCTTGTGGAGAAAGGCGGGAATAGGGTAAGTTTCTGTTTGAAGCAATCGCAATGTACGCGCCTGTGCTCTATTTAGCTTCCTATGTGGAGGTGGAAAGTTTCTCCTATCCATAGCGTATGCTGGGTAAATTCATTGTATGTAGTTGGCGGATCCCTGTATACGAAATCTCTAGGTCGACCCAAAGCTGCCCCATGGCCGCGGATAGCTAACCCTCGCACCCTGGAGTGGGCCGACATTGAGATTGATAATCCCTCCGTCCACGCACCATGTAAGGGTATAGGTTGAGAGCGACTTCACACCGAGTATGTTCTTGGCTTCGTCGCACAGAGCTCCAACACTGAAGGCACGAATGGCAGCTCTAGAATCGCTAAATATATGTTCATGACGCTGCTCTAAAAAAGCCAAGGCAAGGAGGCAGCCAAGGCCAGAGGTTCCTGGAGTTAGGAGGCCTCCCACCTAGGGTAAAAGCAGTACTTGCACTGCTTATATAGTTCGCACAATAATAAACGTTTATTCTTCCTCCTTACACCGTGGGCACTGGAAATACCAAAGTTGCGAGAGCATGTCACATAACTTGGCACGAGCATATGGTGTTGCTGCCGACGGTCACTTTTCAAGTTTAATGAGGCACCTCGGGGCATCGCTTTATTACTGAAGGTTAGCTCATTTCAGTCAGGATCTCTAATAAATGCGAATAATTTTTGTCCTTTTTTATTCGCTCACTGGCGCTCACGTGCACCATGAACCACTTGAATTTCACGCGGAAAAGCGTTCAGTGAAAAGAACTCCGAAAACTTTGCAGCGTTGCGGTGCAGTAGTGCCATCTATATTTATAATTCGGCACTCTTACTTCACCGCACCTGTATTGTTCGTGGACAGGTGGGGTTGCGCAATGCCAGTTTTCCGGGTTTCCGCAGCTCTCAGCTATGTCAGCTGTCTAGCGTGCCCACGCGTGCTTTCATAATCGCGCTGTTGTAAACTTCGTACGGTCAACGGGCTGTCGTTAACCGTTATTTCAGGCCATCGGCAGTTGCGTGGTGCAACGGAGTGCAACTATCGCGCTCGCACTGGCCTTGAAACACGCGTGTCCCATGATGAAAGCGCATGCTTTACGCTGTCGGCCTTCTGACTCGCGCGGATGAAAAATAGCTGCACCGGTTGTTTGTCGATAAGGCGCGGTGTGCTCTTTCCTGTCTCCAGGTTGACAGTCGGCGCGGCTTTTGCGACAAGTGTGGGCGTGGGCTGCGTAAGTTGAGATCTCGCCGTGACCGTGCGTCGAGAACTTCCAGGATGTCGCGATTTTCTGCAAAGCGTTACGGCACCGCGGGTCAGTCATCGGACAACGTCGTGATCGAGCTGGAGCGGGTAAATTAATCCGTTTGAACTCTGCGATCGCCTTGAACTTGGGCGAGAGTTGCGCGGTGCTTCACACTTTGCCGTTTACCGGTTTAATTGCGCGCTATTTGAACGTGTTTGTGTCGCTTCTTGTATATGTGTGTAACGGACAAATTCGCTCTCTTCTTTTCAGTTGTGGAGGCCCATCTTCGATAAGGTGAGTGCACGTACTTTTGCGGAGTCAGCGTATCGGTTGATTCAGCTGCGCTCGTTTTGTGAAGTTTAGCTAACTTGTCGTGCCGTTTCACGCTTTCTGATTAGTACGATCGTGACCACGACGGCGAAATTCCTCTCGAGGATATCCTGCAGCTGTTGCGCGAAAAAAATGAGGAGCTTCAGCACGACATTCCGCCGAGCGTGCTCGAGGAAATCGTCGAGAGAGCCGACTGGGATGCCAACGGGAAAATTTCGTACGCGGAATTCAAAAGTATGGTACGTGTTTCATTCATTCCTTATTGTTTTTCGCCATCAAACGCGACTAATTTACTCCTCTTCGCACCTACCATCGCAATTGTTTAGTAGCTGTAATCCAACTTTGAAAGTTGTATTGCATTTAAATGGATTAGTTGCGTATGGCCGAGGTTAAATTTAAGTCAACTGGCAATGGCAACGATGGCCTTTAATTCTGGTGTAACTACTTGGCCATTCCTCCTCGCCCCCATCCCATTTGCGAGGTGTTGGCTAGACACGAGAAATATGTGTTTCAACTACAAAATATATTGTAAAGTTGCTGTGCACTGTTTCAGTAATGTGCACCACAGTGCCAAACATGAGTGCGATGTTAATCCCTAATTGGTACTGTAAATAACTGTGTGATCACAGTTTGTTCAGTGTTTGGACATCTTCATTTTGGACCTTGAAAATGAGTTCTTTAAAACATGTTTTCTCACATCACCATCTGATCGTTAGAGTGCCCACTGCAAGAATATGCAAAAAAAAAAAAACTTTTTCTTCAGGTACATGCTTACGACTTGGCTGAGCACAGGCCACGTTTCCTTAGACTGGTTCACTATGCCGCCATGACCGTTGTTCCCACAAAACAGCGAGCCACGGTCGTGCGTCGGTACATCGACGAGTATAGCTGCATGCCTCCACCTCTCTTCCTGATCACTGTCAGCCTCGTTGAGGTAAGTTCACCTGTTGTGTGAGCATTTAATGCTACTTTTCTCAGATCATAGTACACGGTTCTAAGTTCGTCAGTGATGCTTGCAGTGGAGCAAGGGTGATATCGCGTACAAACCTAGCACTCCAAAAGTTTGTTTGCACTTTTGTCATTTGCAGGGCTTAACGCTCTTCTGACCGTGCCATAGGCATTGGGGGGAGGGTGGGCAGTAGCCCCCTTATTCACCTAAGAAGGGCACCATGTCTGTCCTACACTTTTGCTCAGTTGGACCTATTCTATCCCAAGTGGAATGAACCCTCAACAATTTTGGATAAGTGTAGCTCGTTTCCTTAAGATATCTTCCCTTCAGCATTTTGATTGAGCCTCACTTGTTTCTAGGCTAGTTTGTGTGTCGCTTAATCAAGGAAAGTATTTGCTTGGCAATTTTAAAAATTTTAACTATCACTTAAAATTTTTTCGTAACTTGTGTTGACAAAATGTTGTCCAGAAAATGTGATGCGTGCATTGCTCTTGCATCATCCTAGAAAAGAAGCCTTTCGTCATCGTACAGCTCTTCAAGCACTAATTATTCAGATACACAAGTTTATTTTGATGACTTGACATGGTACATTTGCCAGTTTCTTGATAATGGCATGCTTTTGCAACTCACAAAACACACTAGTAGGCCATGCAACAGTAAACTTTGTTATGCTAATTTGAGTGAATATATCCTTGAACTTTTTTCATCAATCAAGACCTGCTTTTTTATAAGCAAGAGGTTCAATATAACAATTGAAGTAAATTAACATTTTTGAACAGAAAGTCTCTCAAAAAAATAATATGATTCAGGGGTTAAAGTGACTTTGAATACAGTGTACTAAAATGGGGCAGTGCGCTGTGTTGACAAAATGTTGTCCAGTAAAGGCGACGTGTGCTTTGCTGGTTTCTCTTCCATCGTCCTGGAAAAGACGTTACAGTGTACTAAAAATGGACAGTGTGCTCATTGAGAGGTGGAGAGCGACTCACTTCATATTGTCGCCGACAGGCGGTGTGGCTACAAGGAATATTGAATGTAATTCAAAAGCCCTTCAGTAAGCAACCAAAGGCCGAAGACAGAAACGCCGTTATTTTGCAACTTCAATGAAAAACGATCAGTGCATGTGCAATACAAGAATCTATGCACATATTGTTAAAAGGCAGCTTCAAATGTAAAATATAATAATGATGAAACATAAAGAAATAGGGCAAGACAATGAAACAACCCACATAAAATCACCCAGAAAAACATTTTGCATCATTCAGTATAGGTGACTGGTAAGCGCAGTTGTCATCAGCCAAAAGTTGAAATATAAAACGGCGAATCTGGTAATGTTGTACTGATTGATTTCTCTAGCTTTACCAAAGCAGGATTAGGCCTTGCGGTTATGCCCTCGTGTTTTCTTGTTTTTTGCTTTTTTGTCGTACTTGACACTGCGATCACTCCAGATGGGTCCAGTTCTTTTTGTCATCAAACAGTGCCCTGAAAATTTCTTTGAATGTACGCGGCATGCTTTGTTTGAGTGACTGTCGGGAGCTGTAAAAAGCGTAAAAGTGACTGTCGGGAGCTGTAAAAAGCTTCTCGTCCAGATTCAGCGGCAGGCCGCCTTTGAGCCAGTCACAATTTACGGATAGACACAGATGCCGATGCTTCAGACAAAGAAGCATACGCAAGAAGTGCAGCAAAGCAGCATGCGTGGTACCGACAAAAGGCCCTTCAAACTAGTGAATGGCGTGAACTTGCACTGCAGCCCGGCACACACAAATAGAAGCAGGATCTTCAACTACTTGGGCCAGTTTAAAAATAAAAATAAATTAAATTAAATAAAATTCGAGACCCCTGATGACTTCTATATATTGTCGCAGTGCAATGCGAACAAAAGATCACAGCAGCTTACGGCAGCGAAAAGAGCGTGTTCAGGATCAGCTGTACAGCAAGACGCCTGCTTCGTTGTCGTCCCGAAAACCGCCTAACCCACTAGCTGGAATCTACAAAACATTCCTATCATCGTTCTTTTTATATACACACGTGTAAATATGTATACACATATTTATCTTGTGTGTCATTGTAGCGAACCTTTCTCCACCTCACCCCCCCCCCCCCCCCGTTAATACCCTCAAACTGCAGCGTAACTAGCGTAACCCCGCTAATGCCCAGACGCACTTCAAACACCGCAAGAGAAGTTTTCGGGAGGAGCTGGCAGCAGCGCACCTCGCGGGCGTCCGATCTATCGACGCAGGCAGAGCCATGGCGGAGGAACGCAGGGGTAGGGCAGTGGGTCCACTGCTCCTTTCTGTACACTGTGCTTGTCGTCAACCAGTGCTGTTCGTGTTTGCATCCTCCCTCTGCCCAGTGCACTTCATTGTCTGCTCCCTTTTTCTTTCTTGACAGGTTGCGGTGTTCATTTACTATTGTGTGACCCTTGAAGAGTTCTCAGCTGTAGGTCCTGTGCCAAAGGACAGCCCACTCATCTATAACCCCCGGCGACGAAAAGAAGCGTGGCGTTATCTTACTTACATGTTCATACACGTCGGGTAAGCTTCCATCTAAAGACTTTGCTTTATACACTTACTAAGTTATGTTTAAAAATAACTATTCAGGGCTGTGCTGAATGAGGGGAGCAGCTTGGTATTTAGATGTATGACAGTTCAGTAACTATCAAATTAGGCTATTTTCACCACTTGCTACTTAGTCACAATAGAGAAAAAAACACACTTTGGTAAAGGTAACTAAAACAGAAAAAAAAAACGTTCTTGCAATCATATCTCCGTGTTCCGTAAGTGTTTTATATTACATGCAACATGATGTGCTTGTCAATGACATTGGCACTGTTTCTGACTCTTATTTGACATCTATGGCACATAAGATGCAATATGATCTGAATGTTTTCCTAAATCCTTTTGTCTTGGTAGTATTCCATGTGTTGGAAACAAAAAACTTGGTTTGTTGGATTATTCATAACAAACAAAAAAGTAAGGAAATTTGGATAAGTTGTCGGTTGTTTATACTGGTCACACATGGGTAATTTTGATTGTGACTGGCTCCTCTACACAGCTTATGCAAATGAGTCGATCGCAATTAAAAGAATGGGTACTGTGTAATGCCCTTGTCAATTCTTGGTATTTTTGATTAAATTGGTGTCTCCAACATCTCAATTAAGGCAGCATTTAAAATTGCTCTTGTCATTCGTGGAAAAGGCATGAATGTTAAATTGCCTGTGTTTATGTGATTGGTGTTCTTGTGTAGAATCAAAAATTGAAAAATTATTTATATTCAGTCTATTGAAGTGTAAAACAGACAAAAAGGTTAAATTTACTTGAATTGATAGAGTTGTTGACCCCATAGCAGATTGGACTTGAGAACAGCGGGCACAGGGTTTGCCTATAGCGCTACAGTAAAAAGAACAAATGCACTTGTTACACTTTATACAGTAAGAGCACACCTTACACACTTTGTAATAGCATCGTAAAATTAATTCAATATAGGAAAAAAATCATTGGAAATGATTTTTTTCCACAGTAAATTCACGATAATTCAAACTCTCATAATTTATAATTTTGGTTGATTCAAACAAAATTCAATTTTTTGGTTGGTCCCTATACTTTCAATGTATTTAGAAGCCTCTTTATTTAAACTCGTCATTTGGTTAATTCATATTTCTTGCAGTTTCATACCTGAAAATTTCTGATGCTTTTTCACTACTATTTAAAAATTTGCATGCTTATAAAATCCTAACAGTCTAAAAATGACAAATAAGCGCTTAGGTCTTTGAGGAAAAAAGCTTTGCTAGAAAACAAATGTTTTAAATGAAGCACACGCACGGTAACCATGATGCTTCTCAACTGGTATGGAGAGGCTTGTGCTGAAGGCACATACCTGTAGCAAAGAAGCAGTTGGCAATTCACTATTTATTTAAAAGGTCTGATCAGCAGTAAATGGCAATAAACTTGTGGACCTTACACCTCTGCTTTTTACAGCGAAATCTGTTATGAGATCACAACTCGGGCCTTGCGCAGCGCCGTAGCTGTCCGCCACCGCCGTGGTCTGTAACCACATCGTGCCAAATTAGAAAAAAAAAAACAGCCTATGATCAACGACAGAGTGGGGCTCGAATCCGGGTCTGCTGGATGCGAGCCCAGTATTCTACCACTGAGCCACGCCAGTGCTTGGGACTTGTTGGCAAGCTTGCCTTAGGCAGACTTGATGTCAGGAAAGAAATCCCGTTAATACTACTAATTAAGTGTTTTGAAACAGCTAAATTGTTTATTTATTTATTTATTTTACCCTCAGGGTACACAGTACATTTCAGAGGGGAAGGGCATGCACAACAATGAAAAAACAAGGAATACAAAGCAAATGGCATAAAAATGTTGTCACTAATTGGGGTACGAAGATTATTAATCCTAACAACTCACATCATAGTAAAGCGAATGATAACACTAACTTTATTTTTATTACATGGTGAAGGCACAAAGCAATACAAATAAACTGTTGAACAAACATACAGGGGGTAATTAGGTAATCATTGTTTTAAGAACATTCTTAAATTGAATGGATTCATTGATGCTTGTTATTGATGCAGGCAGGGAAGTCCATTCATTACAAGTTCTTGGGAGATATGATTGGGCATATGTTACTGTGTTGCAATGGGGGACTGTGACTTTTTGTTGGTGATTACGGCGAAGAGAAATGAAGGGAGCAGCTTGGATTAAACGGGAACGGAGTTTCGGACTATGATACAATATTTTATGAAACAGGCAAATGCGAGTGCGCTTTCGGCGGGTAACTAGTGGCATGAGGTTTAGAGATGCCTTCATTTGAGTGACACTAGCTGAACGATGGTAGTTAGCCAAAATGAAACGAGCTGCACAATTTTGAAGGGATTCCAACATGTGTGATAATGTTACCTGACCGGAGTCCCAAACAGATGAAGCGTATTCCATTTGAGGACGGACGTATGTGGTATATAGTAATAACTTTAGTGACGATGGAGCAAGAAAGAAGTTTCTTCGAAGGTAACCCAGTGTTTTATTAGCTTTGGACGCTATATGTTCTGTATGTAATTTCCAGGACAAAGTGTTAGTTATGTGGACGCCGAGGTACCGGTAAGATGTTACAGTTTCAAGGGGGTGACTGTGAAGAAAGTAAGTTGGACAAGTTGTACTCGACCGAGAAATCCTCGTAGACTTGCATTTTTTAATGTTTAGTTCCATTTTCCAAATATGACACCAATGAAGTATGTAATTGAGATTAGCCTGCAGAGAATGAATATCATTGTCATTAGATATTTTACGGTAAATCACACAGTCATCAGCGAACAAACTAATTTTGGAAGTAACAGTAGAAGTTAAGTCATTTATATAGATTAGGAATAGCAGGGAGCCAAGTACTGAACCTTGAGGAACCCCAGAATCAACCGGTGCAGTGGAAGAATTAACATCGTTAGTGCTGACAAATTGAACACGAGAAGAAAGGAATGCACGAATCCAGTTAAATACTGCAGGGTCAATTTTTAGAACACTTAGCTTATGTAAGAGCAGGAAAATGGTTAACTTTATCAAACGCTTTAGCAGATTCAAGAAATATACAGTAAGTTAAAGAAGCAGAGTCCAAAGATATATGCAAATCATTAGTAAAAGAAATTAGTTGAGTATCACAAGAAAAAATCTTTCGAAAGCCATGCTGAGTTGAAGAGAAGAAGCTATTATCCTCTAGAAAATTAGCAAGATGAGAAAATAATATATGTTCCATTATTTTGCGTGGTACACATGCGAGAGATATAGGACGATAGTTAGATGGACTATGTTTGTCCCCGCCTTTATGTACTGGAATAATCGCAGCAGTTCTCCAGTCTTCAGGTAGTACACCATCATGATACGATTGTGAAAATATGCATTTCAGGATGATGGAACTGTATTCTTTGGTATTCTTTAAAAATTTACTATTAATTCCATCAATACCATGAGAAGACGTTAGTTTCAGGTTGTCGATAATCCTGACGATGCCATGCGGGTCAAACGTGATGGGATTCATCGCAAAATGATTGTACGACTGAAGCTCAGGACGTTGTGTATAATTAGATGAAGAAAACGACTTAATGAATGTATCGTTTAGCACAGTAGAACAAAGATGGTCGGGAACAGGATCGCCGGTGGGTGTAAGCAGTGATACTTTACTGGTGCTAAGTGGTTTCATTATACTCCAGAAACGTTTCGGGTTAGTCTTCAGGATGTTCGGCAGGGTTACATTGAAGAACGAGGATTTAGTAGCCTCTAGCGCTCGCGAATATGCTAAAAAGGCTGTCTTGTACTTTGTCCAGTTGGCCGGTTTAAGTGAATACTTAGCGATTCCAAAAAGTCTTTTTTTCCTGTTAGAAAGTCGGTTTAAGTATCTGTTATACCATGGAGCTTGGTTATTGGAGTACACCCGGCGAAGAAGGATACGGAGATGAATTAGTTCAGACACTTTATTACGGAACAAACACCAATTAGTTTCTACTGAGTGCCCAAGATAACCTGGTAAGAAAATGTCTAAAAAGGCGCACAGTTCATTATTAATGGCTAGATAGTTACCCTTGTTAGAACAAGCATTCGTCGCACAGTGCGAATAGCATAACGAGTGGGTCGTGAAACGCTCGAACCCATTACAAAAGCTCGTTTTTGTTGAGCTATTAACTGTGGCGCATATCAACCTCAGGCATAGTTCCTCATTGTCATCAGCCACTGCACGAACAATTGGCACAAAATTCCTCGCAATAGTTTAGTGGATACCACGCTTCTCAGAAGAATGACGAAAAATAGCATAACGAATGCCGGCCTACTACTCAGAAATTATTATTGTTAATGCCGTAGTGGGCACCCAGCAAGTGTGTTTGCAGCACTTACCTAATGAGTGTTTAGAAAAGGCTCTGAAAAGCCGCTCTTCTAGCTTTCATGTGATAGTGCTGTGTCTTCTGCGCAGGGCTGGCGTTTTTTTTTTTGTTAATTTGGTGCAAATAGCTAAAAATATTATAAATGAGATAAAATCAATGCCTAATCATAATGTGCGGTGCCACCTAGCCCAGATTCATATATGTGAGGACTTCTGATAATTCAAACTTCTTGATAATTCAAACAAAATTCAGAGGTTCCTTCGAGTTTGAATTAACGAGAGTCGACTGTAGTTAAAAAATGTGCGGCGACAGTTATCGTACATAAAGGATTAATTTTAAGTAAGGAAAAATGTTCTGACAGCATTGTGGCTTGCCCACTGATGGCCATATTCTTTTGGATTAAGCTCATTTTGCACAGGAGGTAACATTCAGTGAAGGTTTTGCACACCTGTGAGAGTTCTGCTAGAGGCAGTTGGGCTCTGTTTATTCAAGTGTGAAGCGTATACACAGGTGTTTTTCTGCAGGTTTGCTGTGGAATTGAAATGCATAGTTAAGTATATTTATGTGTTATATCTTGTTGCCAGGTTGCATGAAAGGGAAGCGTACAAACCAGACTTGTACAATAATAATTATAGAAATGTTCTTGTAGACCAGTCACAATCAACTACTGCGATCCTATTTCTGTAGAATGTTAACCTCTTGAGATGTAAGCATGCAGGCTTGACCACAAATATATACACTCAAACCTTAGTATAACGAACATGGATATAACAAAGTATTGGTTTCAACAATGTAAATGAAAAATTGTTTTCCAATAGATACAGTGTCAGGATAATACCTTCATAACGAAGTTTCCAGTATAATAAAGTTAATTTCTTGTAAGATGCAACTTTGTTATAATAAGGTTCGAGTGTAGCAGCAACGCTGTTTGCATATGTATAACACTAGTGTTGTCATCTTAAATTTTTTCAGTGGCTTCCACATCTTCTTCAACCTTCTTGTTCAGCTCGTGCTTGGCATTCCACTTGAAATGGTCCATAAGGGGTGGAGGGTCATGCTTATCTACGGTGGAGGAGTTGTGGCTGGTATGTAACAAAAGCAGCTTTGGTTTGAGTTGAACCCCCTTCAAAGAGACATGCTCAGGGTAGAAATTTTTCTCTTTTATACGAGATGTCTCTTATAAGCAGGGTACATCACATGCATTTTCTTGTCAATCCGTATTTTACTGTAGGCACACTAGTGTCTCTTATACCAATTTGTCTCTTACGTCAGTGTCTCTTATAAAGGGGTTCGACTGTATTCCTCGAAAACATGCATTCACAAAGCTGCAAAAGGGCGCACCAATATCTCATTCACTTCATTATGATATATGTTCCTTGTACATATCTGGGGTCTGTCTATCTTTAATAATTATTACAATTGCACAGTAGCAATGGTTCTTATATGTGTACTTGCTTGGAAGGATGAATCTTTAATGTAACTCAAAAGAGATGGAAGGACCCTCCAGAGGTACTTAAGTTTAAGCTGATAAACTATTCGTTAAAAATACTATTATCGGCAATTGCTCACTGTTAAGTACATTGGTATAAGAAGTTAACTCTTAATTGCATCGAAACTCTAATTCCGATATGTCAGTGAAGTCATTACAAGTGAAAACTTCATATTGCATTGCTCATGCGTTCTGTTTAATAATAATTTTTATGTGGCTATGTCTTGCGTCAATTCAAAACTCTCAGTTTAGCATTGTACACAATCGTAGCCTTGTAGATGAGTTTTTTATGTGTTTATGTAAAAGCTGACCTTCTTGTCTTACACACTTATCCCTTTGAGGGTCAATTTTTTTTAAACAACTTTCTCACATGGTCTAATTACTTTATTGCTGATTTCTCATGTGCAAAATGGATAAAATCAGGAAAAAAAATCGTAGGGAAAAAATTGGGAACACTGTTTTGGGGCAGCTTCAGCTCAGAACTGCAATATCTCAGTGCATGGTAGTATTCCTTGAAGCACCGGTTTATGCGGAGTGCCTTGTCTCGTTCTGCGCACATAAAATGCTGGTCCGTTCTTTTCTTTAAGCAACGAGCTGTGCTGGCACACACAGGAGACTTTCTCTGCATGCGGCTGCCTTGAGACGAGTAAGCTCGGTTAACAAAGATAGAGAGAATAGCTCGGCAGCGTCAATGATCCACAAGCTGAAAGCAGTGTCAATATAGATGAAAGTCAACTTCCCCCACCTCCGCGAGGGAGTGTCGACAAAGATGAAAATCAAGTTTTGCACACCTACGTTGCTATCAGCGTAGCGAAACCGAAACCACAAGACATTGCCCATCGGTGTTGACTCGCACTGTGCGATGCACTGAAGGTAAATATCAGTTCTATTTATCTCTGGAAGGATCTTTTACAAACAAATTTTAAACACTTTTTCTAAGTTTTACGAGGTGGCAGCACCTCCTAGGAGCATACATCATCGTTATAGCGTGAAATTTCAAACGGAGCATCGAAAACATTTCATGCAACGAGGACAGAAAACCGCCACTGTATGGCAACAACCCTCACAGTGTCAATGTTGAATGAAACGAAAAAGATTTGCCTCTGAATGTGCCTTTATTAGAATTCGAGTTTGAACATGCCAGTCTGACCTCTTCCTGGTGAGCCGTTAATGTCTCTAATGCTATTAATAATTATATGTGTTTGGCATTGATACTTCACACATAAGTCTTATAGGTGCATAGTGGCTGTGTGATCAAAAAGTTCTCCTTAGCCACTGCACTGAAGTCATATCGCAAGGTAACCACGAAATTTCGCTCATTTGCTTTATATCACTCAGTACTACTAGTTACTGCGGGTTGTTGTTATTATAAAAGACAGCGCCTGTCATGCAACTGTTTGCTTTGAAGTGGTCTGTCTTGTTTGTTCTTTCCAGGATCTCTTGGGTCATCGCTGTCAGACCCATCTGTGTTTCTTGCTGGAGCTTCTGGTGGCGTGTATGCTCTTATTGCTGCTCATTTGGCCACGCTTATTCTGGTAAGCCAACTATCAAGCAACCTTTATCAGACAATTGGAAACAAACAATATTTTTTGCTCCTTAGTGCCAAAATGGTCAATCTAGGACCTTTTGTGGATCCTTAATTGATGCGCTCTTTCGTTCGTCTGCCCCACCATACACACTAGATTCTCAGTGAAAACAGAGCCACTGCTTGATTGCTTTCGTACTCTGATTCAGCACCTCCATTCATCTCTTAGTAAATGGCACTCCTGTTAAACAGGATATATTTTCTAGGTCCCTCCAAGGATGAGGATATACCATATTCTTGTTCATTAGGACAAATCGGGATAATTAAATTGCAAGTGACCTACCACTCTGTGGCTCAGTGGCCGACTGCTACTTAGCGTGAGGTAGTAGATTCGACTCCCAGTGATGATGGCTAGATATCATTAGGACAAACTGCACAGATGTTTGTCTTCTTAACCCTATAGACGGTTGTTATTGGATTTCAGGTGAACGAAATAAATCTAGGCCACTTCCAATGCTGCAACTCCATAAGAAAAAAATTACAGTGGCATTTTTTAGACATTAACTGACACACTTAAAGGTGTCCTGTACCACTTCTTGCCTTACAAATTCACCGCCGCAAAAATTTTTAGAATTCGTCCAGTACAGTTACAAAGCTTTGTCGCACGCTGCAGTTTCTTTCTCTCTTCCCTCGTCCCAGTTGATGAAAGGGCTAGAAGCTAAGCACGGAGGGATGGCACGGGGGTCAGAAAATACGTAACATGCACCTTGTGACATTGAGCACTTTTTCTCTTTCTTTTTCTTCGAATATGGGGCTTTTCAATGCGATCGTGCACGCACACGTGGAGAAAACGTGACCTTCTGCAGTGGCCCCTGTAACGACAGAGTTTGCCATGCTCAAATCAGCTAATGGCTGATACAGTGGCTGTGATGAGTAATTTTTTAGTTTGGATCGTGATTTATCGTGAGAAGAGAAAGCAATTTTGAAAATTTGCTGAAAGTTCATTGAAATTTATTTAAGTTATTTATTGACTTTGAAAATTTGTTTTGAATTCCAGGCCGCGTGCTGGGCTATAATAATTGGCTCGTGTGTTTTCGAAAGCTTGACTACCGATCGGCAGCGTTTTTTGACCATGCTCAAAAAGTGTTGCAGGGCCTCTTTAATAATATCATCTTTTTTTCTCCATTTCTCCCCCGTCTAGAACTTCAAGGAGATGGACTTTGCTTGGGTTCGCGTCATATTCCTTATAATATTTGGCAGCACGGACGTTGGTGTGGCTGTGTATACACGCTACATGGAGGGGGAAGAGGAGAATCGCGTGAGCTATGCTGCCCACCTGGCGGGTGCCACCGCAGGCCTCCTGCTCGGCCTTCCCACGTTGCGCAATCTTGTCAAGCATCGCTGGGAGGTGATCACGGGGCGGGTATTCTTTGCCGTGTTTGTTGTTCTCATTCTCGCTGCCGTCCTGGTGAATGCTTTTTACGAGGAATACTTTCCAAAGTCGGAGATGTGAGGGACCGGGGGCGGGAGCATTGTCATGGGGGAGAGCACATGGGCTTCTCTCGCCTTTCACAAGAGATTGTTGTGCTTGAAAGAACGGCTAACTACAATTTTATGGGGAACGAAACTGTTTCTATTAACATGAGAACTACGGTACACAAGTTAAAGAATAAGGTCTGTTCGATCCATCTGCACCGCCTGAACCAGTTCACGAGGTGTCACGCTTTGCCACTCATGTCAGCAGTACAGCACTGGTCGTACTGTCGGGCTTTGTACAGCTGTTAAGCAGTACGTGTGCTCTGAACCTTGCGGTTCATTTTGAAAATTGTGGGACTGTTTCGTGATTGTTGTGCACCCTCTGTGCTGATGGTGCCAGCTTGGCGCAAGTGCGCAGCTGAAATGCAATAGCAGATGACATGGCACAACTATGTAGGCGTCACTTCAACTTTGCTCCCATGCACCAAGAGCTCCTGCGCGACGTGAGGTGTGTTTTAGAAGCAACAATACATGCAGTTTGCACCCTTCAAACTAAGATGAGCGTCAGGTACTGAGTGAGCAAAAGTGAGGCATACATGCCGAACTTGAACTTCACAATTTCTCATCTCCTCGTGCCCTCCGTAAACCGGTTTAGATAGGTGCAGGCAAATTGTACTGGCCTTTAATCGAAGGACTAGTCGAATAAGCTGCAGCATTGCTGTGGAAAGGAAGCTGTGCTCACTGCCATAGTAAGTGTACAGCCATCGAAAACTTGGGCTTTCATGTTTGTGGGTTTAATTTGTGTAAAAAAGGAATGTTATTTTTAACTGGAGTGAACAAAGCACACCATTCTCACACAGCAAATATGTTCTACATGAAATTGATCCCTTCTGTCACTATGCCATGTGTCATGGTATGACTCTCGGCTCGGAAAATCTTGGTGCTGGCTCAATATTACAGTAAATACATGTTTGTAGACAATGATGAGCAGGGAAGGTGAGAGGGTGTATTGTGGCTTTAAGTGGAAAAACTGCTTTCAATTAGATGTAGCAATGGTCACATGAGCAGGAATTGTCGTTTTGCCTCTTGAGATGCCTTGAGCCAGGCGAGTTGGTTGTGTCAACCGTGTTTTATGTAGGTGGCAGCCCCGCTCTACAGCTATCCCTGAACTGGTGCCTACTTTTGATACATAGGATGCTGAGATGCTTATCACCGTGTTTGAAAGATAGCGATGCACTACGCGGTACGTTTTTTGTGCTTGCGATGACTTCATCATAATTGAACAAATTTCATGCACACCTAATTAAACCATGTGTGTTGTGAGGCTAAATGGGCTCTGCAACACCTTTTTCACATTGTGCACGAAAATTTATGAACCATTAAATTTAACTGTAGCATTGTTTACTTCTTTTTTTCTACATTGTGATGGCATTGTTGCTCTGTTACAGTTGCTAATACGCATATCGTTGAGCCTAACAAATAATGACATTTTATCAACAAAAGAAATCTAGAAAAGAAATAACAACGAATAACACTGATATGCTTGCGTATAGTGCATCACAGAAAGATGACAATGCCTATTTGCAATGAATCATAACATAAACAAAATACTAGTATATATATATTGTAGCTGCAAAATTCTGATAACCTCTGAAAAAAAATTACATTATTTGGTTAACGGTAACTCCAACTGTGACAGAGCAACATTTCTGCTTTAAGTAGTAACTCAAACTGTAATACTGGTACTCCTTGCTGGTTATGTACCCATGACTGCCTGAAGGCTCTAAAAGTTTTATTGTCGCATATAAAAACATGTTGCTGTACCCATTTAGCCATGTGTATTCACTGCTTACATGAAAACAGTGTGTGCCTTCTGCAAAGCAATTTGCATAATCATTTGGCAACCAGAAAAAAGCTAATTATGCAATTTTAGTTTAAAATTTCTGCACGTGTAAGTAATTCACTGGGAACAAGCACCTCCTGCTTTCCTTAGGCAGAAACTGCCGTCGATGAAATTTTGTGAAGTCATGTGCTATAGTTTGTTTCTAACCTTTCATGTGTGTCTCACTTCACGCCGTACACATCCAAAGATTGTTATTTTTATAGACAGGCAACATGTGTTCCGATAATGCTGACACTTCTGTTAATCACCAGGAAAGCCGTGGCTGCATTTTGAACAAATCAACTTGATCAAAACAATCAACAATGAATGTTTATTTTGTGTTATACTTTCTGATTAGTGATTCCTTGTGAATGACAGTGAAGGAAGCACAACCAGATTTTTATATTTGTCTTGAATATCTTGAAAAAAGTGATACCTTTACAGTTTTGCTTCATCAAGATCAAATTGTTTTTGGAGTTATGTTTCAATTTTGTGCTCTTATTTTGTGTCGCTGGACAAATTGGAGAGCACTGATCATACGTTCTACTTTTAGGCTAGTGTAATATAATGAAATAGTACTTTAGAACAAGCGATGAAAATAAGGAAAGCAAAATGTCTATTTTGGGAAATTTTTTTAACCTGTGTGCCTTGCTGAATTCCAGCGCACTTCGGTGTTCTTTTTTTCCCTCCACTTGCTGTGAAAATTTCAGAAGATGCATCCATAAACTGAGCACTTCATTTAATGTACTATTCTTAAACTGAGCACGAAGAAAAAGGATGCACATGTGCAGCCTAGGACTGCCAGAGAAGGTGAGGAAGTCGGGAATGTTAAGGGCAAGATGGCTCGATGTCTGATTTCTAGCATTAGCTCATAGTTTTTTTTACATTCATGGTGCCGAAATCCTTATGAGGAGTGTACCCCTTTCTACACGTTACTAGAGGCATCTTCTACTCCTCCACGTCCTTGGGTGGCGAGGGTCGACAGACTGACGAGTGTTTCACTGATTGTTACTGGAGAAGCCAGATGCCTACATACTCACAGCCGAAAAGCTTGAATCATGGATTGTCTCTCAAGGCCAAACGTACAGCTCAACACTCCAGAACACCAAGCTGCTGCAGAAGGACTGAACGCAGGCAATGCCAAGCTCACAGGTTTTCCGACTGCCTCAACGCGAGTAATCTGGGACTTTCAAGTATCAACGCCTCTCTCGGAGACCACATTCCCGATGACGAGCTGGGAGCAGAATATAGCGCTGCAGCTGAGTATAATGATCTGTGAGCCTGAAAAAACCTTCCTCACGCCATGTCAGTAAACGATGTAAGAGGCCTTTGGAAGTTGTCCGATGCCACGCAGCTGCAGAATGGCAGACGAAAACGCTCATTGATATCGCGAAGTTTAGCAGTCTTCAAAAGCTTCTGCGCGTACCAGCTTGGATCTTGCGATTTGTGAATCAAAGTTGAAGATGCTCTGCAGTGAATTCGGTCGCAATATCAGAAGAGGAGATAGTAAATGCCGAAAAGTTTTGGATATGTCCCGTATAATGAGAGGCTTTTCTTGCAGACATACAGCAGATCATGAATGGAAAAGCTCCTCATAAACACTGTTTTGAGAGACTATCCTCCTTTCAGCAATTAAAGTAGACAGCTTGGACTCGTAGGGCAATTTGAACGAATGAATGGTATATACAAAGAGAAGTATCCCATTATTTTACCGAGATGCAACCACTTTATTGTTCATAATTATAGAGGTGCACTGCAAAGCATTGCATGGAGGCATTTCTAGTACTATTGTAGAAGTTTGCAAGCCTCACTGGATTATTTGTGCTCATTGAGAAATTAAACGAGTCATGCACGCTTGTTTTCTGTGAAAACAGCATTGCACGAATCTGGTGAAAGTGCTGTATGCTTCACTGCCACTCGATCGAATTGTCTCTTCAAGGCCGTTGGTAGTAACAAGGATCGATTTGGCAGGACTTCTTCATATTGTAACGAATGTAGCAGCCTCACAACAAGGATGTTCTATTTACACGGTTTATTAAGGGCAAACTTGTGCCCAAAGTGAACGACGCACAGCAATCAAGAAGATCCGAAAGTCGGTAGTCCTAGTGAGCCTCTGCCTCGAGCACCCTCGTTCTCTTCTTCTTCACACGCGTTGGCTGTTCGGTGGAGTACCACGTGCATGCAGGGCCGGCTCGTGCATTGTGGCTGGCTTCGTCTCTGGTTCCCGATGTCCACGTTTCGCGGAGCAATGGTAATTTCCTGTGGCAATATAAAGCAGAGGACTCTCACTGACCAACCTGCAAAAGATACATATTGTTCACGTGTGCCACCGCCCAAAACGTGCATATAATATTGATGAATGGGCTTTCAACTGAAACCTCCTTTTCGACATTCTGACAATTCCTTGCTCATAGAAGAGCGCTGCTGATGCTATATTCGGACAACACACTGACCTTCAAAAAGGCTTCACGAGACTTGAAAGAAGTATGGAAGGCCATGAAAAGATATCCTTTTGTGACCTTTCTTGCTGCACACTGCATAGTACAGTGGAAGTTTATTGTGCCAGGAGCACCTTGGTGGGGGGGATTGTGGGAGAGGTTGGTATGGCCAATCAAGTGTTCACTGCACAAAGTGCTCAGAAAGAGTTACCTCAACAGCGAAGAGACTGATACAATACTACTTGAAGTGGAAGCAGGGATCAATTTATGGACTTTGACCTATTTCTGTACTGACGCAGCAGAAGCTTTGCCAATGTGCTTCACCCATTTTCTGGTCAGACATTGATGAATTGCTTCTTCAGGGTCACATAGCTTTGATTTGCGCCCAAGAAACAACGTGCGACCTTACGAGAAAGTTGAGGTATCGTCAAAAACTGGGGATCACCTGTGGATACGATGGAGAAAGGAGTACCTGCTGGAGCTGCGCACCATTCATTGATATCCATCCTGTACCAGCAAGGACAAAGAAGTGGATGACATTGTTCTTGTCGAAAAGCCTTGCGTTTCAAGGTGCATCTGGCCCCTTGGGCATGTGGTTGAAGTTTTTCCTGGTCAAGACTGTGTAGTACGGGCCTGTTGAGTCAAGACACAAGACGAAAACATTCTGTGGAGACCGGCAGAGAAGTGTTACAAGCTCGAGATAGCCTGCAACTTTTTTGGGCGGGAGGATAAAGAAGAATAAACGTCTGCAGCCTAGGACTGCGAGAAAAGATGAGAAAGTTAGTAATGCTAAGGGCAAGATGGCTCTCCCTGTCGGATTTTTAGTGTGAGTGTATATGTAGTTATCTTACAAAGCACATTATTTAATGCTGTAATGTTATTCTTATATCTTTGTTTATTCATTAGTTGCATACAGTTCTGGCTCTCTTCAGTTTCTGATCAATGCCTCAGGGTGATCAACATTGCCACCACATTTAGGTTTTTCAGTGTCGGAACAAAATCTTGTGATGTCAGTACACTCGACCAGTTTGCACTACTTCACATCTTTGAATCTGTTCCACTTACCATTCTCATAAAGGTGCCTGAAAGCAATGGTATGGAGGGTACCCCACGCGTATACTGTGGTGCTAATTCTGGTATGTCTAATGGACTACGCATATCTGTAAAGAAATCAGTTTCGACAGTGACATAGCTACGTTATAGCGTCACTTAATGATGTCAAGTAGGGGTGTGCAAATAGAGAATTTGGAAACTGTCATGTGTCATGTCTTCAGTCATGAAGCTGCAAGCAGTTGTAGTCCCCAGTTTCAGTTATTACAAGAAGCTGATTAATGCAAAACAGCTTTATCATAGTAAAAGGCGAGCAAGAGTGGAGTTTTCAAGAGAAACATGTTTATTCAGCAAATAATATAGTGTCGGTAGTCTCATAAAAGCCTCAGCTGTGTGCCAATTACTCTAGAAATTAAAAGAACAATAATTTTTAGCTTTTCGAAATTTTTTTTGCTTTGCAGTTCTCCCTTCAGTGCCGATTATACGAAAAACATTCGGTATTTTGAATAGTTTTGAATATGGCACTATATTCTATTTGAGTACTGAGTGGAATATGGTACTGTTTCATTCTTTATTTGAAATTTTTGAATATTCACACACCCCTAGTATTAAAAAATGGTATTGCGAAAAATGACCGTGTCTATATTTTTCCTTGCTGCCAGCCATTGCTCCACTGTTGTTGTTTTAGGGCAACAATGGGAAGCCAAATACGACAATCGTTACATGAGGCGGGAGAAAGCTTTAATAAAAAAAAGGGGGGGGGGATGCTGCTTCTGTCTGTCCAACTTATTCAAGGTCATGTAAGTTTTCATTGTGTCGTGCTAGAAGACGAGTTGTGTTTATTGAATGCAAAAATTAATGTTGGACAATTTATCCAATGTTTCATTTCTATTCAGATTCCAACAAAGTTGCTCATAGGAGTTTGAAGGAGAAAGTCTATTCTCATGTGTTTTGCTCACTTTTTTATTTGTTTCTCAAACTAGTCTTATCACAGAAACAATGGCAGATACTAGTGCAAAGAGACTAGGTAAACTTTATTTTTTGCTCTAGCACATTTTTGAAACACGTTCCTAATAATGCAATTTTATTTCCTTCATGAAAGGTTATTGACATTCATAGCAAGGTTCTGCAAAACTTACTAACCGAAAATACAGATAGCCTGAATTTACAGTACCGAACTCAAAGCGTAGAGTTATTTAATGAAGCAAGATATGTGTACAATACTAAAGTATTTTATAAATCTATGTAAAGTGGAGTGTAAAAATGTAAATGGCATCAGATGAAACCCCAGATTAATGTAACTTTAAGTTGAGCTAAGGAGATGACATGTGTATGATGTTTCCAAATCTGCAGCCTATTTTACCTCAGTGGATGCATGAAGGTAAAACTATTTTACCTCTGTGGATGCGTTTTACCTACGTGTAGGCACGCTAGCCTACACTGCATTGCCTTTCACTTATCATACCTATTACATGTTGTTTCCTGCTTCCCTTAGCTACTAAAAAATTATGTTTTAGCAAACTGCATTGTACCAAGAGTGATCAATGAATATAGCCAGCAATGAAGTCAGACAAATCATTGTATTTCACGGGAGAAAGAAAAAAAGATGACAGTGATTTCATCTCAAGTGAGTATGGATGATAATGCTATGAAGATTATTCCAAGATTCATTTCTGTGTACTGTTCTTGCCATTGCGAATGCTCAGGATTTGTTTCTAGCTTCTCGCGCATTCCACGGACAGCCTTATTTATTTGTCTACTTAATCATTGGAGCTGCGCAAAAGCAGTCACGCTCATTTTGACATTGTAATCGTTTCTCAGTTCTCACACTTGAAATGTCACAAAACATAGAAGACAAAATGAAACAAGACATCTATGACAAAAAAAAAAGAGCATGTGCTAATCTTTTGGCTTTTGTGTAGAAGCAAAATCGCAAGCATCTTAAGTGATGAATCATTGCATTAATGGCCCATTTTCCCTTGAAAGGTGATTGCATTACTCAGGAATAGCATAATGCACTGCTGTATTTGCATTATAAATGCAGCATAATGCACTGCTATATTAGTGCTTATTGTAAATGCATCTTTCATTGCTTGAGTTTAGTGCTTGGTGTGTGTTTGAAATATTTTTGGGTCACGGGCAAGTTGTATTGCTGCTCTTTATGTGTAATTGTGAGCTTTTTACACGTCAAGCTCCATACTGTCCGCTCTGTATCCGTTTTCACAAATATAAGACAGTAACTTATTAAGTGTGCCTCTATCTGCTTTGCAAGTTAGCATTCATTTCAGAACGAGCTTGCTATGCCTTTCGATGTGCCTCGCCATGCTTGTTGAGTGCTGTAGTGAGTGACTTGAGGTCAACGACAAAATATTATATGCACCTTCTTTTAATATATTTTATACCTATTCCCTTTTCATACAATGAAGTCTTGATATGTAGTAGGGACGTTTCATACGTGACGTTCGACGGACTGACGACTCGTTCACTACCGTAAATTACTAGCAGAGTCGCAAACTATTTAAGTGAATGTTTTGTTTACTGGGAGCATCACGTTTATCTTTGCAAAATTAAACTACCCTAAGGCCTTGTAAACATGCCAGAACATAACACCAATGGGTTTGATTTTACAGCTATGGGTTGACAATGTCAACCCATAGCTTCAACCCATCAACTTGACATAGTATAACTATGTTTGTTGTTTTATTTTGATGGAAACTTTTCTTTTTTCATTATTCTATCGATAGGCGCTGCTTGTTAGGGGGACAACCTGCAAAATGTTTTATGAGAATTTTTTTACTTTTTTAAAAGTTTCGCAGGTGGTGCTTTGTATGAGTGGAGCTTTTATATTGTGCTTGTCTGTGCAGTAATTGTAGTGAACCAGGAAATTGTCACAAATGTTTTGGGAACTCTTAAACGAATACTAAGCTAGGTTAACTGGTGTTTTTATATATTTAAAAGCCCTTCTTCTAAATGCTTGCCACATACAGCTCTGTGTTCACTCTTAAATACTTGGCTTGTTAATCAGACCAATTTGAATTTCTTCGTCAACATGAAAATAAAGGGGCAGTTTAATCTGATGTGCCAGTGAGGCACACATGAAAGAAACTACAGGCCTTCACGTGTACGCTGTAATTCCATGTTGAAATGCTGATAAAAGCTTTGTGCTCTAATGAACTTAGGACACAAAGGGAGGACGTAACATACCATCAGGCAAACAAATAAAAAGGCATTTATTGTTCACACTATAAGCTAGGTAGTCATATTTCCGAATCAATTTAGCATGCCGTTGTAACAAGTTGCATAATTTACGCACTGTCACTTTCTAGGCTGACACATTGAACAAATAATTAACATTTGCCTGCCGGAATCGCTTGCCTATCTTCCTATCTTGTTCAGTGGTGAAGTTTCACAAACAGGGGTGCTTTAAAGAGACGGCTGAAAACTTGGTTATCAATTCTACTTACACCAGTTGCTTGCAGTGGTATTATTTGGCTTACATTTTTAC